TCCAAACCTGAGATACCACGAAGGTTCTTGGCGGGGACGGAGTCACGGAGCTGGCGGGGACGGAGTCACGGAGCTAGCGTAGGACAAGGGGGGGCAGCCACCCCCCTAAGCATTTGAAAAATGTTAAACATGGTACATAATTTTTATTTTTTACAAAATTCTATGTTTGAAGTTAATTTGAATAACAGGGACCATTTAAATATAAAAAAATATTAAAGACATAGGCAAAGGGACCCTTTTTTCTTTTTGTGACTAATTTTTATAGAGAGGTGATAATTTTTTTAGATAAAAATAAATATAGAAAATAGTTAAGATCTAGTTTTTTTGAGATAAATTTATATAAGTTTTAAAATTAATTATATATAATTTTTGGGTTTGACTTATATTCTATTAAACCAAAGTTCATTTGATATATATAACTTTAACAAAAAAGTTATATTTTTATATTATTTATTTAATGATCTTAAATTTTATGTTATTCAAAAATAGTTAAATAAATCTAATTAATAAAGAAATTTGTTGTGAATAATATAAGTGATACATGCATAAAAATAGTAATTAATTTAAAAATCAATTTAAATTATATTAATATAAATTGTTAAATTTTTATTTATCAGTATTGTGTTATAAGTATAAGTTTTTTATCTTTTAATATCTTAAAAATATATAAAATATTAATCAAATTAGTAAAAGTATATAAAATATTAGTTTTTTTTACCAAGTATAAAACATTAATTAATAAAAAAATTGTTGTAAAAATGATTTATACAAAATATAATTAAATGAAACCTAAATGACTAAAAAAAAAATTTAGAAATTTGCCCCACCTAACTTAAATTTCGGGCTCCGTTCCTGAGTGGCAGTTGATTAATCACCAGCCCCACCCAATACATATATAATCACTTAATTTTTTTTTTATCTCCCTCCATTAATGAATAATTACAAAGTATATTAGCAATGAATTATTAATTAAAAAATAATTTTAAAATTTTAATTTCTAAAGTTAGAGAACGTCCTTTAAAAATTTTAAAAATTGTGAATGCTTAAATAGGTCGCAAGTGAGCCAGTAGCAATGAATCCACCCTGAATCAAAATTGGGCATAAATTTATTTATAAAGTTATTAAATTAAACAAATAACTTATTATTTTACATACCACATCATATGTTGTCATCATCCCGTTAACAGCTGACTGATCTGTACTTTTTAAACACCCTGGAATCATATTTTTTCTTGCCAGGATGCTGCACTTATTCCCATTCATTTTATTTAAAAGGTTATTTGGTATATTAATTTAAAATTAATAAGTAATAATTTTATATAATTAATAATAATAATAATTATTATTAATTTATATACTTTTATTTATTAAATTAAACAAAATAAAATTATTAATCATTAATTTTAAACTATTATATCAAATAATTTCTTAATCTATGTGTGTCTTTTGCACATCATCTAAGCCCATTTTAAATACTTAATAACTTAATTAATTTAAAATAAACAAAATTAAAACCGTCTGTCCTTCCTCATCTTCTTCATCTTTCTTTATTACCATATCTTCTTTTGTTTATAGCCTATTCCTCCTTTAATGACATCTCAATTCATCAATCCACATCAATTATAAATTCAATTTCTTCAAATTTGGCACCCATACCTTTAACTGCGTTGGTTCAGGTGCACATATAAATTTTAGTTAACCTAAGTTTCAATTAAAATTCGAACTACAATAGCAATCCCTATTTCCCTTTCTTTCAAATTTCTCCCTGTTCAAAAAAAGTTTTTTTCTTTAAATCGGGACCCACCCAGCTAGCTAGCTTGACAAATCTAAAAACACAGCTGGGTTCTTATTATGCCGCCTCATGCAAAGAAGATTCTCTTGCAATTGACAAAACCTGTCTTTTTCCTAGGATGTTTCCTTGGATCTTCGCCATCTTTGCTGCTAAGGACATTTGGTTCAGCAAGGTCTTTTCTTGAATTCATCTCCTCTCTACATGTCTGACCATGCTTCGAAAGGTTTTCCTCCATGGTTTTATCCATATCTATGTTTTCTTCCAAATATGTGTTTGAAATTTGGTTTGTCGGAGGAAACTAATCGTTAAGATTTTTCTAGGTTCCAATAAACCCAGCGATTAGATCAGGAAGTAGCTGGAACCATGGGTTTCGCCTAAAAGCTCAATTTCAATTGACCCCTCCACCAAGTATTGGCTAAAGTATACCTCAAGCTTCTCATTTTGATAAATTTAAAAATTTTAACTTTTCACTTTATATTATAAAATTTTAACTTTTAAACTTAAAATTTTAAAAAATTTTACTCTTAAACTAACAGAATCCATTAATTTTTTACGAAAATAATAATAAAATATTTACAAGATCAATCTTTAAAAATTAAAAATATAACAATTTAGTCTTAAAAATTAAAAATTAAAAAAAAATAGTAAATTAAAAATAATTAGTTGATGTCTTTGTCACATACATAAGAATAATATTATATATCTATAATTAAATTAAGTGATTAGCTTAATCTAAAAAATGAAATATGATTGAGATTAAAGAAAATTTTTTAGTTATATTCTTTTAATCTCTTACACTTTTTGTTTTAATGCAATAAAGAAGTTTTCTTTAATCTCACTTAGAATTCCTTCTTCAAATTAAGTTAATCGCTTGATTTATTATAGATATTTAATACTATTCTCATGTATGTGACAAAGACATCCAGTAATTATTTTTAATTTAATAATTTTTTAATTTTTAAACTTTAGAAACTAAATTATTATATTTTTAATCTTTAAAGATTAATATTGTAAATATTTTATTTTCATCTTAATGGAGATTTAACAATTCCATTAATTTAAAAGCTAAAATCTTTGTATGTTTAAGTTTAAGGGTTAAAACCTTTATAATATAAAATAAAAAATTAAAACATTCAAATTTATTAAAATGAGGAGCTAAAGTATAGCCCAAGTGTTTCGGATTAGGGGATTTGGAGGGGAACGGGGGAGAGGGGAGAGGGAGGGGGAGGTACCTCCTTTTCTTGTTTGGGTTGTTCTCTTTAATTTAGGAGGAAGAAGATGCAGGGAGATCACGCACTCCACTCTTCTGATTTTCATCCCTTCAATAATTTGAATTTTGAAGGATTGCGATGGATTTTGTTTTTTTTTTTTTTTAATTTTTTTTAAAAAATAAATAAACATAAAAATTTTAATTATATATTTAATAAATAAAATTTTTAATATATTTTATTTATTAAGCTTAATATGTATCAGTTTTGATTTTTAAAAAATTAAAATTTTAAATTACATTTAAAAATTAAAATTTTAAGTTAAAATTTAAAAATTTAATCCGTTTTTAATTTTAAATAGTAGTATTTAATAAAATAAAATTTTAAATTTTATATTAATTTTTAATAAAATAAAATAATTCAAAATTCTAATTCTAATTCTAATTTTTTTATAAATAAAAAATATCATTTTTTAATTTTTTTAAATTATTTAATTAAATAAGAATATTCTTTTCGTTTCTTCTCCACATTTATCTATTCAAACAACTTTAACCCGAATTTTTTTTCCTTCCTTTCCGTTTTTCACCTTTCCTTTCCCTCTCTTCCTTTTCCTTTGTTAATTTTTATTTAAACAAAAACTAAAAGCTAGATCAAACTTTAAAATTGCAAAATCCACCATTTTGGAACCTTGGATATGGCTGCCATTCCTCTATTTTCATAATGTTCTTGTTTTATTTACTAGATAAGGCATTATGCATTGAGGAAGGAGAGAAGAAAGGAGTTTTTGAGTGGCTACAAGGTTTTGTTGTATGGATTTGTGTTTCATTTCTGAGGTTAAAGGAGGAATTTTGTGGGTTTTCTCTTGAGATTTGAAGAATCACTTTTTTTTTCTTATAAAAAAGGATTTCTCCTAGGTTTTTGTTCTCAAAACTTTGATTTTTTTTTTGGTTAAATACCCTTTTTGGTCCCTCTACTATAGGAAAAAGTCCCTTTTTGATCCTTATACCGAAAAAATCCCTTTTTTAGTCCTTACTGTTCACAAATCTGGCCCCTTTTTGGTCCCTCCGTTAATTTTTGCTCACGTGTCACGTTAACTTAACTGAAACAGCTGATGTGGATATGCCAACATGTAAAGAATGCTTACATGGATCCCACGTCATCATCCACGTCACCATCCATGTGGACTCCACTTCCTCCGGCCTTTTTTTTTTTTTTTCTTTTTTTTCCTCTTACCCCGCAGGCGAACCCAGGCTCTCC